TTGTTGCCATGCCAATCCTCTCCTCCACAGCCAGGGTAAACCACTACCTTATCCTTGTAGCGCTGCCAGCGTAAAATTAGTGCCGGTGGAACTAAGAAGAAATCGTAGGACCTTATGCTGGCTGGAAAGGATTGCAATGGGAGCGAAATAGGCATGCTTTCTTATTAGCGCCTCCAGTGCTAGCTGTATGCTAGTCTTACACTGGTTGATCACAGAAGAAATCTCGTCTTCCATGGGAATCCTTTCCTTCCCAGCCAGGGTAAATCATGGCGAAAGTATTGCCATGGAAACAAAAGAGATCATATTCCTTCTTCTTGATTATGCCACGTAGTCCAGTTGACTTCTTTTTTAAAAAACAAACAAACCAAGTTTTATTCAATTTTTCCCATAAAAACAAAAGGCTCTTTTTAGTGGACAACATATTTCCAGATCATCATTTTTACATGCAAATATGACAATAATTATACATTCATATATGCATACTTAATTCTATTATTACCTTTTCCATTCCAAATTTTCAGAATAGAGAAAAACAAGAAAATTAATCCTAATCTCTTACATTAATCTCAATCCAAACATCCTTTCATTTCATTGCAATTATTTCAGATATAATCCTTTAATATTTATTTTAAGAATAAAAATAATATTTGTTTGCCCAATTAAAAAAGGTTATCAATATATCTCCTTCCTTTTAATAGTCTGTATTATCTTAATTTAAATAGTTCTTTAATCTGTCGTATTTTCTTTTCATCACACATTCTTTCTATCAATTCTAGATTAATACAAGTTTTAACACAAGAGAAAAAGAAACAAACTTAGGTTTCCCCCTTTTACTGCTTTGAGTGTGACACCTCATTGGTTAAAATATACTTTTACTCCCTCATCTTAATTCCCAATGAACCTTTATTTTTAAGTAGTTACAATAATGATCATTGCATCTTTTCATTTGGATTCCACAAAATATTTTCCCCCCTTAGTTTTATTTCTAATTTTAAAAAAGGGAAAAGGGAAAAATTGACTATTTAATTCCTGGTTACTGATATTAACCTCATTTTTAAACATCTTCACATTCATTTCAATTAGTACAATTTCTTCAATAAACCTTAATTTTTCTGTTAAAGATAAAAATAAAAATGTATATTCATCTAATAAGAATTATCAGTATCTATCCCTCCTTTAATAATATATATTACCCTATTTTGTAAGTATTTTTTAATTGTAAATATATTCTTGTTACCCCTTGTCACCCTGCAGAATCCCCTTTTTAATTCATCAACCATTATCTCTGAAAAAACAATTTCTTTTCAACGTTTTACTATTTCCGTATTTCTTTATTTCATGCACCTATTTCTTACTGCTTCTCCTTCCCCTCTTTTTCCCATATCTTTTCTCATTCCAGTTTATATCCCTCTCTTTCTGGATATCTTCCTTTCCACTTTTCTGCTGCATCTTTCCATCTCTCCTGATTTCACAGTATTCCCCTTTTTGATTACCTTCTTAAATCTCAACTTTTTAGCCTTCCTTCTTTCCCCTCGTCTTTGTAGTGTTCTTTGTGTTAATTGTCTATTTAAGATGGCTTCTTCTTGAGCGGACTCCTTGTCCTCTGAAGTTCTTTCTTCTTGTTCTTCAATCGCCATTTCCATTTCTTCTAACACAGAACAAAGTGATTCGCCTCTTTCCTATAGTATCATTACACACACTTATATTTTATAATTGTTAAAGTCCACAAAAAACACTTTTACTTTCCTTCTTTCTGTTTCAAGTTTTCTAAAGTTCTCAATTGTTCCAACCCAGGGTCTATACCAAAAACATCAATCAATCCCGCAGTCAGTCTTTCCTTGCTTCTTTCTTTGTTCCGGTTCAACTTTCACTGTTTAAGATTCTTAGTTTGTTTCAATATTTCTTTGACATTATATCGACACAAGTTCATACAGAAACAGGAAGATTTCCCTTTTGTTTGAATTTTTATCCAGAAGATGGCACTCTCCATTATACAAAGTCTTCACCTTTCCCCCCTATTTTATTATTTAGGGTTTTTCGAACCTCAATATTCCAGAGCAATCCAGTCTCCAATTTGTAAATTTTATTATTATTTTTTGACAATCTTAAGTCCAGCTTTATTTTATGCCTATTTATTGCCAAAATATTTTAATCCAATTTAATTAAGTCTTTAATTCCGAATTCTTCCTTTCCCGGTTCGATTCTTCCTTTCCCGGTTCAAAATTATTTTCTTATTTTTTTTCCTGTCCCTTTGTATTTTTGCCGCTCACTTTTCTTTTCTTAAAAGTTCAGTGTTACCTTAATCCCGGGGTACTTTTTGTTTGGTTGTTTCGCCCAATTGTCCCGGCTCTGATGTTATCCACCTTTTTCTTCACTCCTGCACAAATCTTAGTCCAGCTGAGTCTTCCTCTTCGGGGTGGCCATTTTGGACCACCGCTTCAGTTGTCTTAGGGGGGATAAAGACCAAGCCCAGAAGGGGAAATGCGGCTCCCCTCAACCTGGCTGGCGGCCTCCCCTTACTCCACCACCCCTCCAAGGCAGCTTCAGCCCCTAATTGCAGTGATCGGGGCTGTCCATAGCCACAGTCAGTCACGATCTACGGTCCGTCAGCGAGGAGGGCTCAACCCAGAACAGTGCAGTTGACTTCTTCAGCTCGTGAAAAATTAAGTAAGGGAATGGTGATGGGGGATTGGGGTTGAGGAAGAATGCATAGAACCCAGTATATTGGCAAAGCAGGGGCCTCTGAGGACTAAGAATTGACCGGGCAAGATGCAAGGGAAATTTGTGCTACAGCATCTCTGCAGTCGATCATTAAGGGGAGAGGGTGGGGGGCTGCAAAATTTCAAGTTTAAAACAGATTTGTATTTAGCATTGGGGAGGCGTGTTGTTACTTTGAACGTACTTTGAATGGCCTGTCGTACCTCAAGGATTACCTGTACTACTTTTATTGACATCTTCTGCGTCTGTTTTATAAACATTAAAACTTACACTTTCATTTTAATCTTATAGATAAGGATGATGCCAATATCAGCACACTGGACAACAAGCAACATTGAAAAGCAAATGTGATTCATAGAAGGATACCCTTAGGAGAAATGCCCTACAACTGCTCCCAATGTGGTAAATGCTTTAGCAAGCATGGCAACTTTGTGGTACATCAGAGGACTCACACCGGAGAGAAACCATATGAGTGTCCAGATTGTGGGAAAAGTTTCGGTTATCGTTCTAACCTGGTGAAACACCTGAGGACTCACACAGGAGAGAAACCATATGAGTGTCCTGATTGTGGGAAACATTTCAGTTGGTATTCCAACATGGTGAACCACCAGAGGATTCACACAGGTGAGAAACCGTACAAGTGTCTAGAGTGTGGGAAATGTTTCAGTCAGTATTCCTCCCTGGTGAAACACCACAGGACTCACACAGGAGAGAAACCCTTTGAATATCCTGACTCTGGGAAAAGTTTCAGTCAAAATTCCAGCTTCGTGAAACACCAGAGGACTCACACAGGAGAGAAACCCTTTGAATGTCCTGATTGTGGGAAAACTTTCAGTTTTCATTCTATTCTCATGAGACACCAGAGGACTCACACAGGAGAAAAACCGTACGAGTGTCTAGAGTGTGGGAAATGTTTCAGTCAGAGTTCCCACCTTGTGATACACAACAGGACTCACACAGGAGAGAAACCCTTTGAATGTCCAGATTGTGGGAAAAGTTTCAGTTTGTATTCCAACTTAGTGAGCCACCAGAGGATTCACACAGGGGAGAAACCATACAAGTGTCTAGAGTGTGGGAAATGTTTCAGTCAGAGTTCCAACCTTGTGAATCACCTGAGGACTCATACAGGAGAGAAACCCTTTGAATGTCCTGATTGTGGGAAGCTTTTCAGTGAGAAATCCTCCTTGAGGTATCACCAGAGAACTCACACAGGTGAAAAACCTTTTGAATGTCCTGATTGTGGAAAAAACTTCAGTCAGAGTTTCCACCTAGTGATACACCAGAGGTCACACACCGGAGTGAAACCATACAAGTGTCCAGATTGTGGGAAGAGTTTCGGTTATCGTTCTACCCTGGTAAAACACCAGAAGACTCACACAGAAAAGAAACCATGTGAGTGTCCTGATTGTGGGAAACATTTCAGTTTGTATTCCAGCTTGGTAAAACACCAGAGGATTCACACAGGGGAAAAACCGTACAAGTGTCTAGAGTGTGGGAAATGTTTCAGCCAGAAATCCTCCTTGGTGAACCACCACAGGACTCACAAAGGCGAGAAACCCTTTGAATGTCCTGATTGTGGGAAAAGTTTCAGTCAAAATTCCAGCCTGGTGAAACACCAGAGAACTCACACAGGGGAGAAACCCTTTGAATGTTCTGGTTGTGGGAAACAGTTTGGTCGGAATTCTCACCTAGTGAGCCATCAGAGGACTCACACAGGAGAGAAACCCTTTGAATGTGCTATTTGTGGGAAAAGTTTCAGTCACAATTCCAGCCTGGTGAAACACCAGAGGACTCACACAGGAGACAAACCCTTCGAATGTCCTAAATGTGGGAAAAGCTTTAGTACGAATTCCCACTTAATAATACACCAGAGGACTCACACAGGAGAGAAACCCTTTGAATGTCCTGATTGTGGGAAAAGTTTCAGTCAAAAATCGTCCTTGGTGTATCACCAGAGGACTCACACAGGAGAAAAACCTTTTGAATGTCCTGATTGTGGGAAAGGTTTCAGGTACAGTTCTGCCTTGGTGAAACATCAGTGCACTCATACAGGAGAGAAGCCATAAGAGTGTTCAAATTTTGGGAAAAGTATCAGTCAGAACTGCAATCTGGTGAACCAACAGAAGACTCACACAGGAGAGAAACCATATGAGGGGCTCAGTGCTAAGGCAGGACATATCTAAAGCTGGCCGCAGTCCAGCCTTAATGGCTGCCAGGGGGTGACAGATCAGCGCCCGGCCTTTGATGTTTCCAGGATAGACCCGCAGGCCAGATGTAACCACCTTGCAGGCCGGATCCAGCCCACGGACCTTGAGTTTGAAACCCGTGGTCCAGATTGTGAGAAAAGTTTCAGGTATTTTTTTTGTTTGAATATATGTTTTATTGATACCTTTTTCTTTGAAAAACATAAAAAAGCTACATCTATCTGGACAGTGTGTTGTCTGGCACAATTAATTTTAAGTAAAGATATAACAATAACTGTAATCATACTAGTAATCTTAATAAACATTTCAATATTAATCACAGAGAAATCATACAATTAGTTTATCCACCTTGTAAAATTTTCAGTACAAGTTTTTATTATCTTTAAAAATTCTGTTTAGTTTCTAACCTGTTTCTAATAGTTAACCATTGGTAAAATAAATCCTGTTAAAAAACATTCTGTTTGTTCTTTTTCTTTTATCTTAAGTATCAATCTATCCAACTCAGCACATTCTAATATTTTTTATTACAATTTCATCTATTGGGACCTCATCGTTTTTCCATTGTTGTGCAAACACTATTCTTGCTGCCATTGCTACATGAAAAATTAAGTATCTATTCCCTTTATTACATTATTCTGGTAATATACCCAGCAGGAATATTTCTGTTTTTAAATCTATATGGTGCTTTATAATTTTTTAACCAAGTATGTATTTTAGTCCAATATTTTTTTGCCTTTGGACATGTCCACCATATATGATATGAACCTTGTATCTGATTACACTTCCAACATTTAGCTGATAATTTTTTAAACATCTCTCTGGTGGTGAGTGCCACCTATAAAACATTTTGTATAAGTTTTCCTTATAGGCCATTGACATTGTTAGTTTACAATTTTTATTCCAAAATTTCTGCCATTTATCTAATTCTATTGAATAACCAAAGATTTTAGCCCATCTTATCATTGTTTCTTTCACTTGCACTTCTTCCATTTTTTTTTTGTTAGTTGTGAAGTCATGTCCCACCCATCGCAACCCCATGGACGTTGCTCCAGGCCTTCCTGTATTCTACCATCTTCTGGAGATGTACTAAAATGTATTAAAATTAAAGTCACAGGCTTGCTCTTGTCCTAGTTCTGTGTCTACCATTTGAACAGGAATAGAATAGACTGGAATGGAATGGAATGGAATGGAATAGAATGGAATAGAATAGGACAATAGAACAGAATTCTTTATTGGCCAAGTGTGATTGGACACACAAGGAATTTGTCTTTGGCACAGAGGTCTCAGTGTACATAAAAACTACATTCATCAAGAGTCAAGAATCATAAGGTGCAACACTTAATAATAGTCATAGGGTACAATAAGCAATCAAATCATACTAAGAAACAGTCAATATAAATTGTAAGAATACAAGCGACAAAGTTAAAAGATAACAGATAATCAGAGTTGGAAGGGGCCTTATAGGTCATCTAGTCCAAACCCCCACCCAAGCGGTAGACCCTACACCATTTCTGACAAATGGCAGTCCAATCTCTTCTTGAAAGTGTCAAGTGATTACGTTCCCACACCTGAGGGCAAGCTGTTCCATTGGTTGATTGTTCTCACTATCAGAAAGTTTCTCCTTATTTCCAGGTTGAATCTCTCCTTGTTCAGTTTCCATCCATTATTCCTTATCTGGTCTACAGGTGCTTTTGAAAATATCTGGATCCCTTCCTCTCTGTGGCAGCCCCTCAAATATTGGAAGATTGCTATCATGTCTCCCCTGGTCCTTCTCTTCACTAGACTAGCCAGGCCCAGTTCCTGTGAACGTTCTTCATGTTTTAGTCTCCAGTTCCATAATCCTGGTTGCTCTTACTTTTTCTGGAGTCTCAACATCTTTTTTATAATGTGAACAAAACTGGATGCAGTACTCTAGGTGTGATCTTACTAAGGCTTTATAGAGTGGTATCAGTACTTCCCTTGATCTCAATTGTATCCCTCTGTTAATGCAATTTAGGATTGCATTAGCAATCACAGTTACTGCTCCTGAGCCTGGATTCACCAGTCGATATGTGTACTTTTGGGTTTTCTTCCCTAAGTGTTGGACTTTACTTTTCTCTACACTGAATTTCATTTTGTTAGATATGGCCCAGTGTTCTAGTCTGTCAAGATCCATCTGGATCTTGAGCCTATCTTGGGTGTTAGCTATTCCTGCCAGCTTAGTATCATCTGCACATTTGGTAAGTTATCCTTTGATTCCCTCACCTAAGTAGTTAATGAAGATATTGAAGATTACTGGCCCTAAAAGACACAACCTTGTGGCAACCCACTGCTTACTTCCCTCCAATCATACAGTCATTACAATCACACAGTCACAAGTTGGAGGGGATGGGTGATAAAGTGCCTGAAAGTAGCACAAAAAGTAACGGAGACTTATCAAACAAAGATCCAATCTAGAATTAAGAAAAAACTGTCAGTGGGAACAATTAACCAGTGGAACAAATTCTGTTAGAACTTCATAAACATTTAGGGCTCAGCATGCAGCTAATCTTCACAAGCTTCACATTTCACTTGGCTCAGTGGCAAAAATAGGCTGGTGGTCGCTAGGAGTCTAAAACAACTTGATAGCATTTAATCGGTAGCGACGTCTTGAAAACGCTTTAGGCAGAGACGGCACCAGCGTGTTTTACCGCCTCCTGTCGCGAGGTGGCGGTCAGACGGGCAACTTCTGCGCCTACAAAGCCGTCAATACAGGAGCGGCATCTGTGGTTGATCTTAAAGGAGTTAAAACCACCGAGGGCTGTATTGCTAGAAAGGATGGCGGAAGAAGAGAAGCCTAGAGAGGACCTTCCTCTAGAGGCGGCTTGCAGGGCGTCTTTTGTGCTCAGGTGAGTTGAGGGCAGGTGGGAGGAGAGGCCGGGAGCAAGTTGGGCCGTTTGGTTCGGACGCTGCCAGCCAATGCGCGTCTATGAGGGTCGCAACATCCCATCCTCGTGGTCCCCATTTGTGACCCTCCCGGCTAGTTTCTCGTAGGCAAAGTCAGTGGGGATCCTGGCTGGAAGGTGCGAGTCGCAGCCACGCGAAATTGCCTTTAACAACCCGCAGTGGTTGGTTTAACACCCGCAGAGGAGCAGATGTTAGTTGGCACCTTCATCTGTCAATCATGCTTCATGTTCGGGCTGCTTAGTGACACAGACGCCGGTCCCAAATGGAGTCAGTAAGTGAGGACCACTCGCATGGGGAGGTCACCCGAGGGGTTCTGGACAGTGTTTTCTGCCCTTATTGGGAGCTGAGCCCTTCCATTGGCATCACTGGTGCTTCAAATTTTGCAGAGGCTTTTGGCATCATTTCATCAGTTAAAGCCCCCACATCTCTTAAATTTAGCTCAGAAGGTTTGACTGTAACCCTTTTGGGACATTTTTTGCGCTGAAAACATGGATTTTTCACACATATACATTTGTAGGGGTGTGTGTTTGTAATTCTCTCTGCAACTGGTTAATCTGTCCCCAGTGCTTCCAGATATGTAGCCATGTGAAAAACAAAGTACGCCCTTTTTGAGTTGTATGGTTTTATATATCAGAACCTACTTAAATCATCTGGTCTTTACAATCTTAAAAGTAGGGAAATACAATCTCGTGAACAAGAGCACATGGCATACTACATCATGTCACCATGTATTTTACAAAAGGAAAGCCAAAATGGAGGAGCCATCTGTGAAAAGAAACACCTTATGATTCAATATTTTGTAGAGCCACCTTTAGCAGCAATAACTTCAAGGAATAGTATTCTGTATGACAGAAAACAGTCTCCTGCATTGTTGTGAAGGACTTTTGGCCCACCCTTGTTTACAACACTGTTTAAGTTCATTGAGGTTTGTGGGCATTTGTTTATGCCCAGCTCTCTAGAGGTCCCACCACAGCATTTCAATTGGGGTGACCTCTGGACTTTGACTGCTATTGCAACACCTTGATTCTTTTCTTTTTCAGCCATTCTGTTGTTGATTTGCTGGTGAACTTGGCATCATTGACATGGAAACAAAAGAGATGGGTTTTCTTCTTTGCTCTACCAGCGTAAGACTAGCGCAAAGCTAGCGCTGATAGAGCAAAGAAGACATCTGATCTCTTGTTTCAATGACAATCCTTTCCTCCCCAGCCAGGGTAAACCATGACAATATCCTCTTAGCGTCACCAGCATAAACCATAGTAATTTATGCTGCCTGGAAAGAAAAGGACTGCAATGGAAGCAAAATAGGCATGATTTCTCGTTGGCCCTGCTAGTTTTACGCTAGTCTCGCGCTGGTAGAGCGAAGAAGAAATCTCATCTCTTTTCCTTCCATGGCAATCCTTTTCTCCTCAACTAGGGTAAACCCGCAGTGATTTCTTACCAAGGGTAAATCACTAACGATTTATGCTGGTTGGAGTGAAAGGATTGCCATGGCAACAAAAGAGTTTGTATTTCTTCTTCTTTCATTATGCCGCTTGGGCCCGCTGACTTCCTGAGCTCGTCAAAACTGAAGTAAGTGAACGGTGATGGGGAGTACGGTTGGGGAGGAATGCATAGCATATTGCAAAGCAGGCCAATCTACTAGGGTCTGGGGCCTCCGAGCACTGACTGGGCAAGATGAAAAAGAAATAGGTGAGTGGCAGCATCTCTGCAGTGAAGGAGCGAAGGACGCTGGGGTGGGAGGCGCTTCAAAGTTCAAACATTAAACTTTGAAGCGGATTTGTATTTAGCATTTGTGGGGGGGTGTTGAAACTTCAAACGTTCGTTGAATGGCCTGTCATACCTCAAGGATTACCCTTCTCTTTTCACATCTTCTGCAACCGTTTCATAAACAATAAAACTTATATTTTCATTTGAATCTTACAGACAAAAGATGCCAATATAAGCACGCTGGACAAAGGAGACTAACAAGCAACGCTGAAAAGCAAACAAATTGAAACAAAAAAACGTATTTTCTATTTTTCCTCAAAAACCACAGACTTAATCTACTTCATCAGCAGATAAGAGACAGAAAATACAAAATAATGAAGAGATTTACAACTGGAAAAAGTAGATTATATAGAATTTGAGGAAGTTACACGAAAAGTCAAAGGAGATCATTTTTCCATTCAGAAAAAAGAGTGAAATATCTGGAAGTCAGTGGGGAAGAAAATGTCAATTGGGTAGTCACATATGGCAGCCAGTAATGCAGGCACCAACAAAATAAGGGATCACACAGATTTTTGACCTCCTCAAGAATGTTGGTGATGGTAAAGCTCCATAGATGTGCCTATTGTGGGAAAAGTACATAGTTCAAATCACAAGAGGGTCCACACTGGAGAAAAGCCAAATCAATACTCTGAACGTGGCAAAAACTTTGGTCAGAATAGCTCCCTTGTGATTCATAGAAGGATCCTCTTAGGAGAGATGCCCTACAACTGCTCCCAATGTGGTAAATGTTTTAGCAAGCGTGGCAACTTAGTGATACATCAGAGAACTCACACAGGAGAGAAACCCTTTGAATGTCCTGACTGTGGGAAACATTTCAGTCAGAATTCCAGTCTAGTGAACCACCAGAGGATTCACACAGGAGAGAAACCCTTTGAATGTCCTGAGTGTAGGAAACATTTCAGTAAGAAATCCTCCTTAGTTTATCACCAGAGAACCCACAAAGGAGAGAAATCTTTCGAATGTCCTGATTGTGGGAAAAAATTCACTCTCAATTCCAACCTTGTGATACACCAGAGGACTCATACAGGAGAAAAACCCTTTGAATGTTCTATTTGTGGGAAAAGTTTCAGGCACAATACCACCCTGGTGAAACACGACAGGATTCACACCGGAGAGAAACCCTTTGAATGTCCTGAATGTGGGAAAAGCTTCAGTTCCCATTTTAACCTGTTGAACCATCAGAGGATTCACACAGGGGAGAAACCGTACAATTGTCTAGAGTGTGGGAAAAGTTTCAGTGTGAATTCCAGTCTGGTGATACACCAGAGGACTCATACAGGAGAAAAACCCTTTGAATGTTCTATTTGTGGGAAAAGTTTCAGGCACAATACCACCCTGGTGAAACACAACAGGATTCACACAGGAGATAAACCCTTTGAATGTCCTGAATGTGGGAAAAGCTTCAGTTCCCATTTTAACCTGTTGAACCATCAGAGGATTCACACAGGGGAGAAACCGTACAATTGTCTAGAGTGTGGGAAAAGTTTCAGGCACAATGCCACCCTGGTGAAACACCACAGGATTCACACAGGAGAGAAACCCTTTGAATGTCCTGAATGTGGGAAAAGCTTCAGTTCTCATTTTAACCTGTTGAACCATCAGAGGATTCACACAGGGGAGAAACCGTACAATTGTCTAGAGTGTGGGAAATGTTTCAGTGTGAATTCCAGTCTGGTGATACACCAGAGGTCTCACACAGGAGAGAAACCCTTTAAATGTCCTGAATGTAGAAAAAGTTTCAGTCAGAATGGCCACCTCATTAGCCACCAGAGGATTCACACAGGAGAGAAACCATTTGAATGTCCTGATTGTGGGAAACATTTCAGTCAGAATTCCAGTCTAGTGGACCACCAGAGGACTCACACAGGAGAGAAACCCTTTGAATGTGTTATTTGTGGGAAATGTTTCGGTCACAATTCCAACCTGGTGAAACACCAGAGGACTCATACCGGAGAGAAACCCTTTGAATGTCCTGATTGTAGGAAACAATTCAGTAAGAAATCCTCCTTGGTTTATCACCAGAGAAATCACACAGGAGAAAAACCTTTTGAATGTCCTGATTGTGGGAAAAATTTCACTCTCAATTCCAACCTTGTGATACACCAGAGGACTCACACAGGAGAGAAACCATACAAGTGTCCAGATTGTGGGAAAAGTTTCAGTTACCGTTCTACCTTGGTGAAACACCAGAACATTCACACTGGAGAGAAATCATAAGATTGTCCTGATTGTGGGGAAAATTTCAATCAGAACTACAATCTGGTGAACCACCAGAAGATTACACTTCCAACATTTAGCTGATAAATTTTCAAATTTTCAAGTTTCTTTGCTAAACTCTCTGGTGGTAAATGCAACCTATAAATCATTTTGTACAATTTTTCCTTATAGGCCATTAACGTAGTTAGTTTACAATTTCTATCTAACAATTTCTGCCATTTGTTTAATTCTATTGAGTAACCAAAGTTTTTAGGCCATCTTATAATTGTTTCTTTCACTTGCACTTCTTCCATTTTTGTTGTTGACCCAGATTGTTGGGGGCAATATGCTGACTCTGTAAACCGCTTTCAGAGGGTTGCAAAGCCCTGTAAAGCGGTATATAAGGCTAATTGCTACTTCTATTATGAGGGGTTCACTTATCTATAAGCTCTCTCCTTTTTTGCTTTTTATTATGCTAATAATGAATTTTACTCTCCGGCATTTTCCAGCTCTTTCTTCCTGTCTGACTTGCAGAAAGGAGGGATACATTTTTTAAAATGGCTTCTAACTACTCCATTACCATTACAGAGACCAAATCTTTGAAAGATGGGAAGTTTTTGAAACATTTGATATGGTATAAATCTTGTTGTTGTGCCATATGTGTCATTGGATATTGACGATCCTATTTTTATCAACAGCCGCACGAAAAGTGCTGCTGAGTATTGTCCAAACCAGTCCCTTAGATTTTGAAGCCATCATGTTCTTCTTCTGCCTGGACCTTGTTTGCCTTCAGTGTTTCCCTGGAGGATTAAATAAAGTATGCTGTATTTTTCTGGGTGTTGCATCACATGTCAGAAATATCCCAACTTTCGTTTTTTTACTTTTAATGGGTTTTTAATGGTATAAATAGGTGACTCAAAAGATTAGTCAGATTAGCATTGATCCTCATTTTTTTTTCAAGGGTGTGTCTTCAGCATTCCGTCAAAAAAGAACTACGGGGTAATGTATAGGAATTAAAGATGAATTTTCATGTTCACCTTGGACTTCAGTAAGACATTCAATAAAGTTGACCACCACTTACTACTTAACAAGAGAAGCATGCAGTGGGATACCTCAAGGCTCAGTCTTGGGCCCAATAATGTTCAACATCTTCATAAATGATTTAGATCAGCGGTGGCCTACCGCTATGGCCCACTGGTGGGCAGTGAGAAAATTATGGTGGGCCGCAGAGAAATCTCACCCCCAGAGCACCACCCCAAAGCAATTAATCCGGGCTGTGTGGAAACAAGGCTGCGCCGTCTACATGGCCCGTGGGAACCCTCCCCACCTACTCACTCCTTACCCGGTAAACTTGCCTGCTAAATTTCTATTTTTCCTTTTTCTGACCATCATCTGTTCTGCTGTGCCGGGACATTTAGATTACCGTGTTTCTCACAAAATAAGGCTGGGCCTTTTTTATTTTTTTGAGGCCCAAAAAAACGGCTACGACATCTTTTGGGGGTGAATTAATTTCTACCCCACTCCCGCACACCAGTGCCGTCTCTAACAACAGTGTCTGAGTCACTCCCGCTTTTCCCCCGTCCCCGTAACAACAGAAAAAAAAAGATTTTGAGGTACCTGGGAGTGCTGCGTGCTACGTTTTGGTTGAATCCCGAGCGGCTGGGTGGGCGTGAGAAGAGCCGAGCGAGCGTCTCTGCTGCTGCTACCCTTGGTGCTCCAGCCTCGGGCTCTGCAAGTTTGCAAAAGTCCCGGTGCGCAGTCCGTTCCTGCATTCCAAGCGCCCAGGCCGAGCTGCAGCTGTCCCTCTCTCACCAGCTCCGTCTCCAATAACAGTGGCAGCAGCGGCGGGAACCGCGGAAGTTACGGAGGCGGCTCCTCCACCCAAGAAGCAGCTAAAATGCTTCCACGGCTCCCGCTGCTGCCGCTGTTATTGGAGACGGCGCTGGCGAGAGGGGGACAGCTGCAGCTCAGCCTGGGCGCTTGGAATGCAGGAACGGACTGCGCACTGGGACTTTTGCAAACTTGCAGAGCCCGAGGCTGGAGCACCAAGGGTAGCAGCAACAGAGACGCTCGCTCGGCTCTTCTCACGCCCACCCAGCCGCTCGGGATTAAATCAAAACGCTGCGCGCGGTGCTCCCAGGTACCTCAAAATCTTATTTTTCCTGTTGTTACGGGAACGGGGGAAAAGAGGGAGGGACTCAGATGCTGTTGTTGGAGACAGGGCTGGCGAGAGAGGCGCCAGCACCAGTGGGAACCATGGAAGCTACAGGGGCCTGAGAAGCGATTGAAATTCTGCCGGACATCCATGCCGCCACCGCCTGCCTGCTGACCCGGATAAGGGAGGGGTAAGGGAGCCCTCCGTGCTCCACCATGGTGTTAGGAGCAGCTGGTGGTGAGGCGTAGCTGCCCACAGGGCACTCCTAATGGCAAGTTCCACCCCCGCCTCCCTCCCCAATTTCACATGTTTTAAACTAGGCCTAAATTTGGGGGGAGGGGCTTAATTTCATTTTATGCCTAGAAAACATGCTGGGTCTTCCTATCTGGGGGGGTGTATTGTTGGAGAAACACAGTAGCTAGGAAGCAGGAAATGGTTGGATTTCTTGCTTTCTAGCTAGTCTTTAGATCCCTTAGGACTGAAGGTTTGCTTGCAAGCAAATTCAGTGCAGACTCACTGGCAAGCAAATTTGAGACTAAGCTAGCCGGTGGCAGATAGATAGATCACTGAATGATTCTGTGAGCAACTCAATCTGCCTGCTTTGCCTGATTTTGGGTAAAAGTTGCTCTTTTTAAAAATAAATTCTATATTTACATGCATGGCGTGTTGCGAGTTAATTTTGTGAGTTTGCTTGCAAGCAAATTTTATGTGACAGACTGAGCTAGCCAGTGGCAGATAGATCTCTGAATGAATCTGTAATTCTGTGAGCAACTCAATCTGCCTGCCTGTTTTGCCTGATTTTGGGTAAAAGTTGCTCTTTTTTAATAAAAAAATTATAAATATTTATAATGTTTACATACAAGCCATGCCCAGCCAGTCACATGACCACCAAGCCACACCCACAAGTTAGCCCACGCCTACATAACCGGTTAGTGGTCCCTGGGATCTAAAATTATGAGTTTGGAGGTCCCTGAGGTCCAAAAGGCTGGCGACTCCTGATCTAGATGAGGGCGTCATCTTTGGAAGCCATATTCCATGCTGCCACATACCCTGAAAAAGTGGGAGGGGTGTGTGATTTCAATTAAATAGCTCTAAGTAGACAAAATAAAATTCTTTTGTTAGTTCAAAGTCATTTAGTATGGGGGGGAGGGTCGTGCACACATGCGCAGAAGCACAGGTTGCGTGGGTCGCTCATGCATGTGCAGAAGCGCAAGTCGCACAGGTTATGTGCACATGCACAGGAGGCATTGGGGGGCACGCACATTGCCTTCTGGGTGATGGCACGCGAGCACGAGCAGGCAAGCGTGTGTGCATTTTCGGCAGGGGAGCCCAAAAAGGTTAGCCACCACTGACTTACCACATTATGTTGGTCAAAGGGGCCCAGCAAAGATTACACAACCTGAGACTTCTCAGAAAACAGCAACTCAATGAAAAACTGCTGGTGACCTTCTGCCGCTGTACCATAGAGAGCATTTTAACATACTGCATCTCCGTATGGTTTGCCAATTGCACAGTGGCAGATAGGAAAGCACTCCAGAGGGTTAATGTCATTGGTCAGAGGATCATGGGTTGCCCTCTCCCCTCTTTGGAAAAGCTTTATAGCTCCCGTGCCTTAAGAAAGCTCAAAACATTCTCAAAGATCCATCTCATCCTGGGAACCCTTTTTTTCAACTATTACCATCTGGCAGACGGTACAGAATAATAAAAACAAGGACAAATAGGCTGAAAAACAGCTTCTATCCCAGGGCAGTAGCTCTTTTGAATTCTGCTGTATAGTGCAGTGTTGGTGTGGCGTCAGGGGTTTCCGGTTCAATGTGTGAAGGGTGAAGGATGTGTGTTTGTGTTTATTTTCATGCTCATGGTCATGATGTGCACTGAAGATGATGTTTGATTTCATTGTACAAGGTGCAATGACAATAAAGTAAACGAATTGTGTTCCTCCTTCATTTTCCAGGAAAGACCGCAGAGAATCGGCTTGGTTTACGAAAATGAAATTATTTGGCACTCATTGTTAGAGTTTCCATGATCCACCTCAAAGTGGACATCTTAGGGCAAGGTTTTGCAAACTTGGCCACTTCAACATGGGTAGATTTCAATTCCAAGAATTCCCCAGCCTGCCATGTCTATTGCCCTAAAGCAGCGGTGGTATTCAATTTTTTTTTACTACCAGTTCGGTGGGCATGGTTTGGTGGGCATGGTGTGGCTTGGTGGGTGTAGCAGTGGAAGGATACTGCAAAATCTCCATTTCCATCCCACTCCAGGTGAAGGATACTGTAAAATCCCTACCCCACTAACCTGCTTTTCAGCTCCGTTCTCCTGTGCAGGGCAACAAAAGAAGACCTAGCCGATCAGCTGGGACTAGGGAGGCAGAGAATAGATGGTCAGGGGTAGTATTGCCCGTTCTCTGAAGTACCCAAAATTTCCGCTACTGGTTCTCCAGAACCTGTCAGAACTGGCTGAATATCACCTCTGCCCTAAAGGCGCAGAAGTTTCCTTTCATACAGTCACTGGGTCCATAACACACTAGACATTTGAGTTTAGTTTAATTTTAGTTTAGCTTACTTTACTGTCATTGCATCTCGTACAACGAAATCAAACACCATCTTCAATGCACATCATCACCATGAAAACAAACACAAACACACATACATTCTTCACCCTCCACAGATTGAACCGAAAATCCCCCACCAACACTGCACGATACAGCAGAATTCAAAAGAGCTACTGCCCTGGGATAGAAGCTGTTTTTCAGCCTAGTTGTCCTTGTTTTTGTTATTCTGTACCGTCTGCCAGATGGTAATAGTTCAAAAAAAAAAAAAAAAGGG